GTGAAAGCTTTCAAACTCATTGAAATAAAATCTTATAAAAGAGGAAATAGTTTGAAAGAGACATGAATATTCTCTGATAGTCAAGCTGCTTTAAAAAGACTTAGAAATAGTCAGATTTATAATGATTAAATGAATCTTGATCTGATTTTAAACTCTGTTTTGAAGATTCAAAAGAGAAGAATATCTAAACTGATAATTCATCTATACTGAGTTCCTGCTCATATGAATATTCATGGCAATGAATTGGCTGATTCAGCTGCAAAAAAGGGTTCAGAATTAAGCAGATCTATTCAAAAAACAGTGTTCTAGTCTTTCATAAAGAGAAAGATAAAAGAATCTTATTTAAATAAGTGAAATGAAAGCTGACAGAAATAAAAGAAGAGCATATATTATTCAAGATTTGAAATAAAATCAAAGTGAAAATCTTGTTCAATTAAATATAAAAAGAAAATATTCTCATTTATAATTCAGTTAAAACTAGAATATGATTATTTCAAATTCTATATATAAAGATTTAATGATAGATTTGATTCAACAGAGTACTTATTCTGTAATATAAATGAGAATTCTGAGTATATTATAATACATTGTATATTATATAATAGTCTCAGAGTCAGATTAAAGAAGAAGTATAATTTAAATTAATTAAATATGAGATTCTTATTCTTAACTGAGATAGAACTTAAATACTTAATAGACTTTCTATCAGAAACTTAAGTAGCTATAAGAAAATAACTCAACTCAGAAGTATCTGAATATAAAGAGATGAAAATTGATTAGATATAGTCTATTAAAATAGCTATATACTATCTTTTAATAATTTTATTTTATTATAGTATCTCTTTACTGTACTTGTTTCTTTCTATTCTTTTCTATCTATCTATTTAATATGTCTATCTTTAAGACTATGTTCTCTTTTTCTTTGTCATGATATTTTCAAATGATTTAAAAGTATTAATAGATGTTGAAATACTGCAATTTATAAACAGTTTTTGTATTCTGAGCTGGAATTTTCTGATTTTGCATATCTGAAATTGATAAGTGTATAATAGTTGACTCTATAGATATAGGAAAAACCCTGAGAACTAAAGATTCTCAGGTAGATGTCATAGTCTCTGACTGCATACATCTATAATTGAAGAATAATAATAATAATAATAATAGCTCTGCAATACTTAGCACACCAAGGCTTGTGTGCTACAAAAACATTTTAACAACAACCAACTACTCTAAGAACAACTCCATCAGTCTTAAATTTTATATGTTCTCCTTGTCTTGGCACTGATTTGTTTTCGCAAGCATTACGTCCGCCATAATACTAATTTTCATGCGGGGGTTGGAAAATTCTGTTTTCACATGCAATTCGCCCGCCACAATAATGCTAACAGTAGTTATCAGCCTTGCAGCTGATCTGCATTCATGCTTCGGCCTGTTCAAACTACCATTTGAAGCCGTTGACTCCATAACCTCCACTGACAAGTACCTACAATCAACTCTTCAAATGCTCTTGTCCGGAGCTTCTACAACCTTCTAGTAACACGTACCCTGCTCCTCTCACCCTATCGCACGATCGACCGACCATCTGTAAAGTTACTGGCGCTACATTGCGCTATTGCCTATATTCTAGAACTTAGCGCTACGGGGACATCCATCGACCGCATCATCCGGCACATGGAAGGGGTACGGGTTCGGAGTATAGCCCAGCTAAGCTCGGAAGGATTGTTGAGTTGACGTTAGAGGGGTGGTTGGATGGTGTGACTGCTTAACTGTTATACTAGAAAGTATCCCAGCAGTGATGCTCTTGGGCAGGCTCGCTGTCGATTGCACAGCCAGCGGGACTTGGTCTATCTCCCATTTTGTTTCCGTGTTGAAGTCCATTTCTGCTTTGAGCTCCAATTTCTGTGTTGCAACCTACCTGTGAGGCATTTTCCCTTCCCATTGAAAAACATTGCATCCGGGTTCCTGGAGTGCGTTCAATACTGGGCTGCAACCTTTTTGATGCTGAGATGAACGGTCCCTCTCCCCTAAGGGGTTGATGAGGTGAGAGATGTTAAGAAGTGATCGTGGCGTCCATAACATAAGCCCTGAGTGGTGAAAGACAAAATCCCAGTAGTGAGAAAGGAATGATGACATCTTTTTCTCAGGTGGGAAATTTGAAAGTGAACAAGAACCTAAAACCACAAATAAATGATCAGAGACCGTTGGTCCTTTCAGAGCCACAGATATCGGACTGATGACCTCCGCCGCCTTTAGGCCGCCGTGGCCACTGATTGAAAGGTTTTAGCCCCGAGCGGTTCATGGGCCACGGTTCATAGAGCGGTTGATCTCGATGGCCACAGTCTTCAGCACAATGGCATGGACTTATGTGCATCAGACCCCAGCTCTTTGTCAGTCGTCTTCAGCTACTGTGCCTTCAACGCAGTTAGCCTTCAGACCCTAGATTTGTGTCCTCATTGAGTTTTGGACAACCCGCTACTAGTTGAAAGGTTTTAGGCCCGAGTGGTTCGAAGGACCGGCTGGGCTCGCCCAGGTGTCCTCAGAGAACCCCTCGTCCCCAGAGAGATTGTCCTTCTCAGGGAGCTTCTCATCCTCAGGGAACACCTTGTCCTCAAAGAACTCCTCGTCCTCATGAAGCTTGTTCTCCCGAGGGAGCTTCTCATTCTCAGAAACCTCATATTCTCAGAGTTTTGTATTATGTTTCTGAATTACAGTCTGTTTCTGTGCTATTTTGAGAAATCTTTATCTGTTCACTGAAAAATTATCTTGTAATTATGTTTCTGAACGGCATTCTGACTTGTAGTAACTTTTTCTGTAAGAAGCTTCTGAGAATTAAACATAAATATAATTATTTTTTCAGATCTATATATCTTATATATTAGTAGCCTTTATAATAGATACTTTTTTTATATATTTTGTCTACTTTTAATATATGTTATGTTACTGTAATATATGTTACTGTAATATTAAATTTTCAATATAGTATTCAAAGCATTTTCTTTTCAAGCTATTGTACTTGTTAAATTTCTGCTATCTCAACTGACCAGCTTCTACCAATCATTTGAATCTCGCGGATGAACTGATTACTCGCTGTTTTGAAACTCTCTGTGAACATTGTTGTTCTTCCTACTGGGTTTGTATCGTCAGCCTGGTAGAAGGGGTTCTGCAATAGCTTAATATACGCAGTTTGCAATACTCGGAATGCCTATTTCACCTATGTCAGCGTAGTCAATATCTAAAGATGTGCAGCCTATGACTTGCCGGTTTCAAGTCTGAATCACGGAGACCGACGAGAGGTGCCATCTTCTTCTTGTCGACGCTAGATGTGACATTCCCATCCATGTCGACGATAATCAAAAACTTGACACCAGTATTCGTTAGCCACCCATAGGCAGCAAACCTCTCGTCGAAAGCATGTAATAGGCCCAAGTACTGATCCACCGACGTGTGTTTCCAGCGTATTGCAACCAGATCAAGACATGAGTTTAGGAGAAGCGAAAGCTCGAGGCGAGAGTCCTCATGAGGTGGAAATATTGAGATATGGAGAGGATTGTCCTGCATCGCTTGTGTCAGTTTCGGTGTGTGGTCCAACGGGTAAGCTGAGGTACAGCCTGGGTTTTGTCTTACGAGTTTTCCAATTATGCCGATACATGCGATTGAAGGGGATCCCATACCCTTCTCCAATGCAGAAAAGTTGAAAAAAGTTTTCATCATTGACACCCTCCCGATGAGCTGGGCGGGCTGGCTTTGCTTGAGCTCTTGACAGTTGTACGTCATAACGAAGAGCCAGCTCATCCATGAATTGACTTGGATAGAATAGAGGTCATGTGATTAGCAGCGCCAGAGACTACCTAGGTATTCGTGTGGGGAAGGAGCTGTAGGCTACTGGGGCAAAAGAGCTCAATCACCACCAGCGCCTGCTGGTAGAAGGGCCGACCAACCGCGGGACCCCCAACACCCCCCCTCAGACCAGCTACCACAGAGTACAGTACTTCCTCTCAGTGGCTCCCTTCAGTGGCCTCCCCACAATGGCTCCTTTTAATAGTGGACTCAGTCAGTCCTAGGGCTCACGGGACTTCTAGGGCACACTCCTGGGATGTCTCTTGACACTGTTAAAATGTCCAGGGTATTTGTTAGGAATTTTTAAGTCCATTCTGGGATTGAACTCATGCATGTTGACCACAGCGGGGCTCATGCTTAACAGTCTCATAACCTGTAGGCTACTGGGGCAAAAGAGCTCAATCACCACCAGCGCCTGCTGGTAGAAGGGCCGACCACGTAATCAACCACCCAACGCCCGCGTACACCCCAGGAAGCAGAAAACTTGAACCTTGCTAAGTGCGCCACTTGACCTCGTTACATAATCATGACCCTGACCTCGCACAATACAGTAATAATCAGTTGATAATTAACTTTCAATCTTTCAATTCACTTATAGTCTCATTCATTCAGCTCATCAATCAATCAAAGTATGTATAGCTGATTCATAATTAATTAAATGAATAGATAAATTCATATAGAATATAAAGAGATATTTTACAGAATTTTAAAATATATCAAGATAAAAATATTTAATAATTGATTTTAAATTAATTTTAAATTGATTTTAAATTGATTCTGAATTGATTATAGTAATAAAAATAGATTTAATCTATATATTTAAGTAATTAATAATTGATTGAAAATCAGTTAATAATCAATTCAGTATAAATTATATAAATACTTACTTTATTATTAAATTCAAGAATAATTTCAGTATTAAATTGATTTTGAATTGATTTTGAATTGATTCTGAATTAATTGTTAATTAATTATAGTAATAAAATAAATTCAATCTGTATATTTAAGTAATTAACAATTGATTAAAAATCAGTTGATAATTAATTCAGTGTAAATTATATAAATACTTACTTTATTATTAAATTCAAGAATAATTTCAGTATTAAATTGATTTTAAATTGATTTTAAATTGATTTTGAATTAATTGTAGAATTGATGATAAATAATTGAGTGGTTTCAAATTACAAGAAAAGATGTATTAAGTGAGATCAGATAGTGACACAGGTCACATTTACAAGATCAAGTGATGCACTTAGTAAGGTTAAGTTTTCTGTATACACTGTATACTTAACTAGACTGACTGTGTGACCGTGTCTGAGATCAGAATCAAACTTTACAGTTATTATATTATCTAAAAGTATTACTTCTGATCATGATTTGTATTCATTACATTGATCTCAAATAGACTGGCTGCTGAGACTATAAATTTCATATTTAATCTCATTTAATCTGATCTCATACATTTCTTAGTGTAAATTCTGCTGAAACTAGTTATTAAAAAAACATGCAAAGTAACTATATATCAAACCTCAAAATGAAATCATGACTTGAAAAAAATAAGAAAGTGATCTCATTTAATCTCATTTAGTCTTATTCTTAGTATAAAGTTACTATTTTTAGACATTTTAAGATTTTTTTAGACTATTTTTAATTTTTTAAAAAGTAATACTTTTTAATAACACTTAAATAAGATTTAAAGTCATTTAAAGTAATAAAAATAATTTAAATTAAGAAGTGAAAATTATAATCTCATTTAAAAAATATAATAAGAGTAGATAGTAAGTCTCACTGAGATAATATAAAACTACTATTTAATATTAAAACTATGTAATGAGATTAGTTAAATTGATAATAAAACTATTAAAAATTCTAATTCTAGTTTTAGACACAGTTATACAGTCAGTTTAATATTAAATTATATTATTTTAAATATTAAAGATTTCAGATTTACTTTTCAAATAAAAATCTAGTCTTAAATAAAGAATATATTTAAATTCTTAGTTATATTTTTATTCTGATCTTATTATTAAGAATAGTATTAAATGAAATTATGAAATCATTTCTTACTTATATAATATTATAATATAGTACTTATTTATTGAAAATTTAATAAAGAGTATTATTAAATATCATTACTTTTCTAAATACAGATTATAATTCATATAATTTTAATTATAAAAAAATATAAAATATAAAATAAATAAAATAAATAAAAAATAAAATAAAAACAAGAAAAAATTACAATAAAAAAAAGAGAAAGAAAAAAATAAAAATAAAATAAAAATAAAAAAATAAAAAATAAAAATAAAAAAACTCAAGATTACAGAGCTACAGTATCTTTAAAATACTTATTTTTCAGAGTCTTTATAATACTTATTTTTCAGAGTCTTTATAATATTTATTATTAACTATATATCTCTTATAGTAAGAGTAACACAGTTGTAATAAATTATTATCTTAATATTATCTAATAAATAATCAGTATATATCTGTATAAATATGAATAATTAGAAAATATATACTTAAAAAGTGTGATTAGAGTGAACTCTGCTATCACTTGAATAATATTAAGAATAGAATACTGAAATTAATAATTTCTCTTATTAATTTTATAGATAAGATATGTAAAGATAGTTTTAAAAAATATAAGATTCTCTGACTTTTGATAAAAATGAATCTTATAAAGAGACTCTATTTTCATAGTATCAGAGACTGAGTATTATTAAAAAGTATTACTTTTATACAATGTATATATACTTACTGCAGTAATTCACTCTCTGTGTATATAACTAGACTGGCCGCCGGGACCATGAATTTCACATTTGATCCCATTTGATCTGATCTCATACATTTCTTGGCGTGAGTCCCACCAGGACCAAGCCTCAAAAAAATCTGAAAATGAACCATTTCTGAGAGAAATGATGTGAAAAATGACCAGATTTAATTCAAGAACAGTGAAATGAGAGTAATTTTCCAGGATAAACTGTGAAAGATGATCATTCTTTCAAAATCAGAATAAGACTGAGACTGAAGATCAAAATCAGTCTCATTTAATTCATTCAGTGATTGCTTATATAATCAGAATTTAGTAATGATTATTGATAATACTCATGAAACAACTAAATACATTCTTGTGCAAGTTTATTCTTCACTTTCTCATGAAAACTACACTTCTCTGATATACTGTGATCAGAGGTATTAAACTGTCTGATAATTTCATGTTTTACAATCATGAGTTTCTTGATTGTTTCTCCTTGTAATTGTCTCTGACAATAGTGATAAATATCTCAACTTGAGTTGAACTTTCACTTCATTTTCATCTCTGTCAATGAAATTGTCAGAATATCACACACTATCAGTGTAACAGTTGAATATGTACTCTCAACAATTTTTCATAACTCTAGAATTGATTTAGTGTGTAAATTTATCAGATCATCTTGAAGATAGCAGTCAAATTCAGTTTTACAAGCATGTAGTTTTACCTGATTTTTAATTGTAATCAATATATGCAAGTTCTGTTTCAAAGTTAGTATTATAGTTCTATGTGATATGAAGTGTTATCAAAGATTGTTACTTACTAGAGAATTGTATTCCACTGTCTCCACATCTTGAACATCTGCTTGTTCAAATCTCTGATAGTTGGCATTGTAGTAGTCTCAGACTAATTTGATATATGAGTCTCATTCCTTCTCTGTTCAATCTTGAGAAGTGTAGATATTAACTTGATGAGAGAAATCTAGTAGAGCTGCTACAGTATAGTACTCTGTAAAAGATTGTTTCATTTTGCTGTAGTAATATGCCAGTTTATCTCTTATAGCAACAATAGCCTGCACTATAGCATCATCTCAGACTGAATTTCTTTTTGAGTGATTCAACTGCTTCTCAAGATAAGTAAATAAACTGTTATACACTCACCAGGCTGACTGCAGCATTGATGTATGAGTGATTGAGACTGTCTTTGTTGTCTTATAAAACTGAAACAGTAAATCAATCACATATTTCAACTGAGTTCACTTCATATCAGAAAGTTTCAATATCTGAATCTTTTCTTAATCAGAGTGTTGCACTTAATGATCAATCATCTGATGCAATTAAAGAGTCTGAACAGTCATCTCATATATTGAACTTCACTGTGTTCTAACATTCTGTATTATATTCAGTGATGTGACTGATTTGTTTGTTTATTGAATATCATGAAATCATTGTTGTTGTTTAGAAGAGGTACAAATTGCATTAGCAATGTTTTGAATCTATGATATTTAAATTATTAGTCAATCTATTCAAAATTAACAGTAGTGTTATCAAAAAGTGTTATCAAAAAGCAATATTAAAAAGTGTTATCAAAAAACATTACCTTTTGCAAAGTGAATGTAAAAGTTACTTGAGTAATCACTTTCATCTCATTCTCATCTCAAGAATCAGCCATCTCATTATTCTTCATCTCAATGTTAAGATTCTTTACCAGTGTTTGCATTACAAGTTGAACCACATGAGCAATGCAGAAGATATGACCTTGTTTATCATTTCATAAATGCAAAGCCAATTTTTGCTTCAAGCTCTTCATTATAGTGTAGTTATTCACAGCATTGTCAGTTGTAATTGTAAGAAGACTGAGACTAATATCTCAATAGTCATTTTTAATCACAGTTATTAATACCTCTGCCATATAATCCTCAGTATGACTACTGATCAATGATTCAAATTCAATTAATGTCTCTTGATAAGTTCAGTTCTCATCAATGTAATAACATGTAACTCTTATAAATGCAAGATTGTTTGTACTAGTTCATGCATTCACTGTGAGAGACACTCTTTGATGATTCTTCAACTCTGATTCTAGATATTGCATATTAACTTTGTAGTGTGTCTTGAGATTGAACTGAAGACAGAATTGATGTGAAATATGAAGATTTGAATTAAGCATTTGAAGAAGTGTTCGGAATTCAGGGTTTTCAATTGATTAAAGAGGAAGATTCAGAGATATACACATGTGAAGTAATTATTCACAG